TCTGAATGCCAAGTTGCGGCTGATGCAACATTGGCACATGCAGACCAGCAAAACGCAAGTGTTGTTTTAATGCTTACAGCGCATCCAAAACCTGCATCCCAAATCATGCACAACGTTTTTGCACATTACAGCATCGTAAAACAGTTCTGCATGCCGATTTTGCATGCACACTTGTGGCGGTTTGTAGTTGATAGATAGATAGATAGATAAATAGATAGATAGATAGATAGATAGATAGATAGATGATGTAACGTTAATCGTAGAGTTCTGATCTATGATCACGCAGCATTATTTACGCTACACAATGCGAAGACGCAGAAACTGTTTTGCAAAAATATAATCAACTTTTACAGTGTAATATTTTTACCAATATTTTGGGGATGCACTTACCGACTGTGGAAGTTTAGCTGGTCCCGCTCCGAAATTGATGGTCTGTTTCTTCTCCATGTTTCAATAAAACTGTTTATTATGGCCGTGGGATTTAAATCTTTCTGAAACTCCTCCACTTGACCTACTTTTCTCTAAGTTATTTGGACAGACACTATTATTCTCTTTACACATGATTACACCTGATGTGCAAGTTTCCTGCTTGTTTTTATTGGCTCACGGTATTCGGAGCCTCTGCTTTCGGCTGTTTGATTGGATGGTGTGTTTGTGGCGTTGCTGCGAGTGACTCGTGCGTTTCGCTTCATTAAATATTCATGAGCCTCTGGGCCACTATGCATAAAAAAAGTTTTGACTTTTTCCCCGTTTTTTTTTTTCTTTGCAAATCTGAGAACAAATTGAGAAGTGTGAGTTATCTTCTGAAACTTTAGGATAAATGTCTTCATGGTACTATTTTTTTCTCTCTCTGAAGGATCCTTTTCCCTAGTTTTTTCCTTTAAGATCCTAGTTTTGGATCTTATTGAATTTCATTGAACATTTTTAAACACGTTTGTTCACTAGTACCTTTCCTTGAGGATTTTACTTATATATATATATATATTTTTTTTACTTAGGCCTATGTTTTTCCCTTTTCATTTGAATTAAGATACATTTATTTTCTGTAAAGTGATTTGCAAATATGGAGGAGCAAATCTGCAGAAATTAAAAATATATATTGTTATTATTTTTTATTTATTTTTCCTTCATGATTTTATTTTGCTTTTTTTATATTTATTATTTATTTTTAAATTCATTTTTATTTAATTTAATTATACATTTATTTATTGTTCTCTTTATTCCCACACGTATTTATTTATACCTTTATTAATTTAAACATTATTTATTTATTTATATTTATTGTTATAATTATTCATTTCTGCAGGTTTCGTCCTCCATAGTTACTTACCTATTGAAATCATTTTGAGAGCCATATATAATGTTGTATTGTTTCAGCAGATGGCAGTATTTTGCAGAAAATTGGAGGAGAGATTACAAGTTTTTTACAAGATTCTCTTCCTGATTTCCACAAGGGTCAGTTATAATCAATCTGTAATCGAGGAATTTCTGTAGTCTAATTTTTTCATGTATTTTTATTTTTTTATTCCGAAAAAAGCTAATCTGCAAACAGAACCTGGTAAAAGCTCAACATCAGTCCGTCTGAAATCAACCACCCCAAAATATCAACACCTACTGAAGTTTTAATAAAATGTTTCATACATTTTCAATAACTTTTAATGTGTAAAAACTATGTACACGCACACATGAAATGCAATAAAATGCTTGAAAAATAAAGTCATTCTTAAAAGTCATTAAAGTCATTCTGTCATGGGACAAATGTAAGCCAAAGTAAAAGAGGAAAACAGTGCAACATGTCATTTATGACTTTTCCAGCTGTTTGTAATTACAGAACAAGGAGTTTTAAAACTTTTAAGACAGGGATTGCACTCCGGGTTCTATTCAAAAACATATTTTACAAAGCATAACTAGAAAATGTTACCAACTACAGAAATTCCCACAGGTATTTTAAAAGGGTTCGCCCAAATATGAAAACTTTGTCATCGGTTACTCACCCTCGTGTCACTCTAAACCAGGGGTGTCAAACTCAGTTCCTGGAGCGCCGCAGCCCTGCAGAGTTTAGTTCCAACCCTGCTCCAACACACATACCATGTAGTTTTAAAATAAGTCTAAAGGACCTGATTAGCTGGATCAGGTGTGTTTAATTAGGGTTGGAGCTAAACCCTGCAGGGCTGCGGCCCTCTAGGAATTGAGTTCGACACCCCTGCTCTAAACCCACAAGACTTTTGTTTGTCTTTGAAACATCGATGAAGATATTTTGAGATTTCTGTCCTTCCACTGAAAGGTCACACAACCGAAACTTTGACGACTCAAATTCATAAAGACATCATAAAAGTAATTCATGAGGTTTGTTCTGGTAATTGTTTCTCTTATGAAAGCTTGGATTACTGGATTACTCTCATGATGGAAGGACAGAAATCAGTCCATGTAAAGCGATATTAAAATATGTGTTCTGAGTTTGTCACACAACAGAAAAATGTGCTATTAACCACACTGTAAAAAAATTTCACCCCTTTCAACTTAAAAACGTAAGTTTTGTGGCTGCCTTAAAATTTTAAGTTAAAGCAACTTAAAAGTACAAGTCATTTCAACTCACTAATTTAAATCTTGCCTAGTGCTGAATTGTTTTATTGAAGTTCATTTGACTTTACAATATTTGCTGTTTTAACTTAAGTTCAAAATTTTTTACATACATTTTCTAGTTATGATAATGTAAACTTTATTTTAGATCCAGATAAAAAAAATATATAGAGTGATTAATTAATGACAGAATTTTCATTTTTGGGTGAACTATCCGTTTAATAGGCCAAACCACACTGACCGGTGGATCTGCATCTCCAGTCGCAGCGAAATCGTTTCCTTGCTCCTACATCCTCCACCCTATGACCCGGACACCAATCGAACTCAGCTGTCTAATGATCTAATGACAGAAATGTAGGGGAAAAAATCAGAAGTCGTTGAAATGTTGGCTTATCTTAATAAGATATGGTTTATATTCTTTATTTAGTACATAAATGCAAAACTTACCCTTCATCAAGTCTCAGACTCAGTCAAATGTTTGCCTATAAAAAGAGAAAAACATGTAAGGGGAAAAAAAAAACTTTAAAGTGGTTCAAATATTGACTTATCTTAAGATATAGTTTATACTCTTTATTTGGTACAGGAATGCAAAACTTACCCCTCATCCAGTCTCAGACAAACAATGCCTGTAAATTGAAAAAATACAATAAAATAAAATAAAAAAATACAAAAAATTATGTAGGGAGAAAAAAAAAAAATAAATAAATAAATTGCCCATCTTAACGATGTTTAACAGGTGGAGAAACAAATATGTGTCAAATCTCAAACGTTACATTACAATCTGCAGTGCTAATGCAGCACAGCGGCCACCGTATCAGAAATGCAAAACTTGAAAGGTAACTGTTAAAAACAGTTCGGAAAACAATGACAGAACATAACTAGTTCTGCTCAATTCTGCTAAAATTACAATAATCTCCCAAAAATGATGTTACACAAGCATTCACTCAGCTCATCCACGTTGAATATGCTTCTTCGCGCGCAGCCCAACGGACAGCTTCCTCAAGTTCATGAGTCGTTCTTCTGAAATTCCTTCGCGGTTTAGTTAGTTCGCTGTGAGACTAATGTCTAGATTTGCTGAATATTTATTTATTTTTTTCTTGGAAAGGACTCTGATATTAAATTCATGTACAAATTTGACTCCTGCGCATGAATCCATGTTCAGAGATTTGGCCGGTTAGTGCCAAAAAGTTACAACTTCAAATGTTAAGTTCACTGAACTAAATTGGGCTCTTTGAATTTCAGTAACATTAAACTGACTTAAAAAAATCAAGTTGAATCTAGTATAACTTATATAAACAAGTTGAAATTGCTTCAATTATTTTTATGAGTTAAAGTAACTTAAAAACATAAGTTGTCATGGCTTTTTCATCATATCATTTTTTACAGTGCACCCAGCCAAATTTGAATGATAAAAAAAAACGCCAAGTAAATAAAATATCAAAATCTTGGAAAAATAAGTAACGTTAGGACTCTGCTCTCAAAAGCTGGGGGCGTGTCCGCTGTTGGCACTGAAACCACTGGAACTCGGCTTCTCTCAACTGTCAAATACCACTACAACCTGAATGGATGCTACTGATGCTACCTCTAGTAGCTTAATTGGATTTATACATCCAGAGAATATACCCGAGAATCAACCTCATCCCACTGGGTCTGCAACAGAATGGTCTTTTTTTTTTCTTCTGACACGCTCTCTCTCTCTCTCTCTGGTTTTTAACCAACTTGTTCAGGTGCATACCGCCACCTACCGTACCGGGGTGTGCAACTTCAGGGCTTCATGTACTTAGCATAGTTATAATACAAAAAAAACACAAAAAAACAATAATATATATATATATATATAATAAAAATTTCCTATATACTGTGCTCTAACCCTGTATCTTTAAGAAAATTAAAGAGAGCCTTACTACATTCCCACATTTTCTCATCTGCCCCCAAAATCCCCTTCAAACTCCATTCTTGTTCCAACTCATATATCTTATCTTGCAAGATCCTCCTTTCTGCATTATATTTTTTACACCTCATAATAATATGCTCCACATTTTCTGGAACATTACATTCATCACAATTATCTGATATGCATTTTCCCATTAAAAACAGGGTTGATTTTAAACCAGTATGTCCAAGTCTTAATCTTGATATAATCACTTCTTCTCTTCTGCATTTCCCTTTAAAAGCCTTGACGTTAATCGATTTCTGAATGTTATAATAATATCGCCCTTTGTTTCTTCTGACGCTAATACGCAGTAGTTATTATAGTGTTAGGGGCGTGGCCACATGTGTTTAGAAACAATTCTCAGAATTCTCTTTACACGGACTTTAAGAATATCTTCATTTGTGTTTCAAAGATAAACAAAAGTTTTATGGGTTTGGAATGACATGAGGGAGAGTAACTGATGACAAAATATTCATTTTTGTGTGAACCAAGCCTAAAAATCACAGTTTCTAAATATTTCCCTTATATCTCCAGGTTTTCCATGACTGTAAAGACCTCCTTTCAAGAAAAATGCTTATTTTATGGTTTATTGCTACTATCTTGACAAGGTACTTTTCCTGCAACTTATATTTCTCATCAGCTGTATTCTTCAATAATAATATCCACTGAGAAGCCTGCTCACAGTTGCATTGTTTATTAAGAGAAAAATATTTATTTCATGCTCCTTCAGCAGTAATTGATACCCGCTATGTGTGGTTGGGTTCAGCGCATTTTTTGTGGATGGAAAGCAGCAGCATAGTCCTCTCAGATCCTGTTTCAGAGCTATTTCCCTCTGGCCGGAATCCCCCTTCGGTCTTTCCCTTTTTGACAGCCCAGCAGTGGGTCTTGACCTGAAAGTCTCGATCATGTCATTGCAAAAGCAAGTATTATAGAGGCTGGATGATGAAACGGTTTCCTGAAGTGGGTTTCTCAGCTAAACTAGCAGCAGGTGCAGCATCTGAAAAATCAAAACAAAACCAAGGTAGAAGAACAAACGTTCAGCTCCCTTTTCAGCAGAACTTCCTTTTCTGCCATCTGGTGTTGGTAATACCACAGCAAAACAAACGGCTTCTGCTGTGTTTGCTTTCATTGGTCTTCACGCATGACAGACCACACAGATATTTTGCTCGTTTCAGTCTTCAGTTTTTCTGACACAGCAGTGTGTGCTGCATTGGCTCCGGTAGCTCGATGTGTAGAGCACGACGCTTGCAACAGCCAAGTCATGGGTTCGATTCCTCAGTCGTTTTGGTTTAAAGCAATGCAATGCAATGCAATGCATTTCTCAATGCATTACAGAGATTCTTGCGTGTCTCTCTGTCAGACAAAATTGGTGAGTGATGCAGCAGATCTCAAAGCAGCATAGTTTCGTTTCTGGGAGCGCAGCAGGGGAGTCTGGGTATTGGCGTCCCGTAGGGTGTTGCTGCCGCTGAGAGAGCGAAAGTGCTGCTGTGTCCAGCCATAAACCAGGCAGTTTAACAGACCCTGAGAAGCAGAGGTGAAGGCCTGTCGAGAAAAAGAACAGGAACGTTTTACATTCGTAACTTAGTATGGGTAAAGCCTTTGTTTTATTAGGAGTTTTATGCGTATTGGCGAACCTGTAGGATGTAGAGAATGACTCCCATCCTTCCCTCTATTATGTCCGGTTTCGCCAGCATCATAGTGGCCAGAATTAGTGCTGAAATAAACAAGAGATCATAAAAAACATTAAGGGAAAGCACTGAAAATAGAGTGTTTAGCTGTGGATTTATTTCAATTAAAAAAAAAGAGTTAGGCCTAAATTTGAATTGTACATAAAACTTCCATCGATTTGCATTACACAGCTCTAACATAAACTAAGTAAATTAATGTGATGCATATTTGTACATCATGCATAAATGAAACAAGTAAGATTTCTGTACTCAAAGTTTTTTTTATCAATTATTTGCATCTATTTGATTTTATTTAAATAATCATATTTTCAGGATGCATTATTAAAAAAAATGCTTATCTCTTTATTGTCAAAATAAATGTATTCAGTCATAAAGTATGAACATGGTTATAATATGGCTAGCTGTGTAACAAGCAATAATTAATTAATTAGAATGTATGAGATTTAAAAAAAAAAAATTGATTTATTGAGAATTAATATATAGATTTGGTCATTATGTACAGTATTTAAGTTCATTAATAATATTACAGAATTCTTACCTGTTTCATTTATGTATTTCTGACAAATATGCATAACATTAGTTTTATCACATTAGTTTTGCATCACATTAGTTTAGTAGTTCATAGTTCAAATTTTTATATTACTTATAGTTATATATTAGTTAAAACTCTGTAATCCAAATGCATGGAAATCTTATATACAATCCAAATACATAAATCTGAAATTATGCCTAAATATTGTTTAAGTGCCATGCATGTGCAGGGGTTGTTAATAAATTAAAGACTTGCATTAATGCATTATAAAGGTATTCATAATGTATGTTGTAATGCATTATATATTTTCATAAATAACTGTAACCAAAGTTAAAATGCATTATAATATTTAAAAGTTTGTTTGTCATGTGTTTTAATGCTTTATACTTTCTATATGAATAAATAATAAGTATTATTATATATTATAACTGTGTTTAAAGTATTCATGAGATCATTTAATGCATTATAAAGTGCATTAAAATTACTTTTATGAAGCATTATACATAGAGGCTTTAAGTAAAGTGTTACCATGAAGGGCAATTAATCTCAAAATTGTTAGTAAACATACTGACACATACAGCTCTTTACTATGGAAAGAAGAAAAGGTTCTTCATTTGCTGTCTCAGTAACGTTATATATAAAAGTTTGAACTAGTGTATAAATGTGTGCTCACCTGGTCCCCAGCAGAAGAAGAAGGCTGAGGGATAAAGCAGCATACGCCGTTCCAGGAGACGCAGAGTTTCCCAATGATTGTCACCAAAGAAACCTTGAGACGTGATGACACGCTTGTACAGGGAGCAAGCTTTACACATGAGAGTCTAAAAAAAAAACGAGGAATACAATTAGATTATGACCGGAGAATCATTAGCCTTATATTCACTTACACTACCATTCAAAAGTCTGGGGTCTGAATGATTTTTTAATGTTTTTGAATCTCTCACCAAGGCTGCATTTATTTGATCAAAAACACAGTTAAAACAGTAATATTGTGATATTTTTTCATTTAAAATGTTTTCTATTTGGATGTATTTTAAAATGTCATTTATTCCTGTGATCAAAGCTGAATTTTCTGTTACATGTTCCCCTGTCTTGTGTTTTATTGAATCTTATTTTGAAGTATTGTTCCTGTGTTCTGTCATCCTGTGTTTAGTTCTCTTGTTTATCTCATGATAATTGATTAGCCTCACCTGTTACTTATTAGCCTCTTGTTACCGTGTGTATTTATACCCCTGTGTTTTAGTCTTTGTTTGTCAGTCATAGGGATGTAACGATTACCGGTTTGACGATAAATCGTGATAAAATACCCCACGGTTAGTATTACGGTTTCATATTTTAATTATCACTATAACTGTATTCGATTACCGCGATTTGAACAACTGAGGAACTGCGCTTCGAGTGTAGAGCCTGGTTTATACTCGCCGCGTCAGAAGCGCGAAGCTGCATGCAGCAAAAATCCCCTGTCTTGTGTTTTATTGAATCTTATTTTGAAGTATTGTTCCTGTGTTCTGTCATCCTGTGTTTAGTTCTCTTGTTTATCTCATGATAATTGATTAGCCTCACCTGTTACTTATTAGCCTCTTGTTACCCTGTGTATTTATACCCCTGTGTTTTAGTCTTTGTTTGTCAGTCATAGGGATGTAACGATTACCGGTTTGACGATAAATCGTGATAAAATACCCCACGGTTAGTATTACGGTTTCATATTTTAATTATCACTATAACTGTATTCGATTACCGCGATTTGAACAACTGAGGAACGCGCAGCTCTTCGAGTGTAGAGCCTGGTTTATACTCGCCGCATCAGGAGCGCGAAGCTGCATGCAGCAAAGCACATGCTATTAGATAAACTGTTGTCAGTCATGTTGTCATTTAAAATCCGGACATCATTGGCAATGTTATTGTTTTAGTGATTATGCAAACAAAAACTCATTTTATTTGTTGTTTGTTGATTTTAAATGTAAAACTTGGTGAAATTATTTGTGTGTCAGTACTTTTTGAACATTTCCAGCACATTGTAACAATACCGTGATAAGACTGATAACCGTGATCATGTTGGTCATTATAACCGTGATAAGAAATTTTCATACCGTTACATCCCTAGGTCAGTCATTGTCTATTCTTCCCAGTGTACAGCTGTTGTGTGGTTTTGGTTTTTATTGCTTTTAATGTTTTTTTTTTTTTTTTTAGTCTTTACTAAATACTGCTGTATTTACATAGATCATTGCTTCACCTCTCATTTTCAGCATCATTACTCCAGTCTACAGTGTCACGTGATCCTTCAGAAATCATTCTATAGTCAATATTTGATCAAGTGGATCAAAAAAGTTAATCAGAGCTGTCCTAAGGAAAAAAAAACGCATTTAAGCTTTAGGTTTTAGGACAACTTTGATGAAAGGTTTTGATCCACTTCAAATGTTGACTACTGTAATATGCTGCTTTGCTGCTCAAGAAACAATTTTGGTTATTATCAGTGTTGAAAACATTTATCCTGCTTCATATTTTTGTGGAAACTGATACATTTATTCCAGGATAGACAATGGGATACAATGTTTTGTAGCACTTATTAATCTAGGTTAATGTTCTACCATGACACATTAACAAAATATAATTTCATTGAAAATAAGCTTTAATTAACTTGAAATGTTCAAAAACATTAGTATGTAGAAATTGAAATTATAGTATTGTACATTGCAGTTTCATGTTAGCTATTACATTTGCTAATGTTACCATATAAAACCTTTCTGTAGCAGTCTTTTTTTTGTCGTTGAGTCATGATCAAATAAAATAAAACTAAACTTAACATTTGTAGTGTGCTTAAATTCAGTTATGATTGTAATTAAAGTTAAAGTAGTTCAAAAAAAAAGAAAAAAATTAAAAAAAATTAAAAAGAAATTAATACTTTTATTCAGCAATGATGCATTAAATTTATCAAAAGTCACAGTATAGACATTTTTTGTTTACTTTTTATTTTTCAAAGAGTCCTGGAATAAATGTATCAGATTCCATAAAAATATGAAGCTCTTTTCAACATTGATAATAATCAGAAATGTTTCTTGAGCATCAAATCAGCATATTAGAATGATTTCTGAAGGCACTGAAGACTGGAGTATTGATGCTAAAAATTCAGCTTTGATCAGAGGAATAAATTACATTTTACAATATGATACATAAGAAAAAAATATTTGAACCGTAGTATTCATTTAAATCATACATTTCTGAGATATTCAAAAATGAGATCAAGACATGTTCAATGTTAAAGACGGCTCACCGTGATGCCAATGAAGGTGACGAGGAAGGTAGTAAGGAAAATGGTCATGCAGTAGTCTTGAATGATACTACATGCTGTCATTTCTGTATTTACAGATGAGGTGAGATACACAGCCCCTGTATGCATCAGCAAACATCTGGAAGACAATCACATCTGAATTAGCATCATATTAAACAACTGTCTGGAATGCATTCAAACAACTAAACTATGATTAGAGGCAACTATTGAATTGAATGCTACACGCTTTTAATAATAATATGCTTGTTCAAATAGGATGCTTTGATGAAGTTATGATGATAGTAATGAGAAAGTACAGTTTATGAATCATTTCATGTGCATGTGTGAATATATTTCGACTGACCTGTAGGGCTGGGTGAAGTTTGTGTAACACTGAAACACATTTCCTGCTACAAACACAGGCGCTGTGAGCATTAAAGGCAAAAGACTGTATGGAGAGATCAGGACAGACAGTCAGTCAACCAAAAGCTTTATATTCTTCAATTCTGTTCATTTTCAACTATTTTGCATGGTATTTGTCCTAAATAGTATGCAGGATTACAAGTAATGGGTTTATTTATTGTAAATAATATGTGACCCTCTTTGTGAAATTCAGGCTAAAGTCTCAAAATCTAATTATGAGATAACAAGCATCAAAGTTTGATTTCAACCATTAATTTCACTATAATTTAAATCTTTGACATGCCCTACTCAGTCAATATTAAAGATATAAAGGTTACGTATTCACAGAATGTTCTTTACCTTATAAAGGATGATTTTATGTAGAAAACAGTAAATCACAAAAAAATTACTTTATGGGTTTTCACAGAGAAGGTCACATATTCCAAATGTGCATGTGTATGTACTATTTCTGGATTTTGGATGTATACAATATAAATAAATGAATAAACTACATGCAAATATTCACATGCTAAACCATAACAAATCTTTGCTATATTGTTATAGTTTATGTTCATATTTTGAATTTGATTTTATTTTTATATTTTCTAGTTTCACTTTCATTTTTAGTGACTAAAAGTTTTAGTAATTATGTTGTGTTTTCTGTTTTTATTAGTTGTTTTTTTTAAACATATAAAATAAAAAAAAACAGTTTATTTAGTTTTAGTTATTCTAAAGTGAAAACTAAACGAAAATGAGAAATGGTGGCATGGCAACTAGCTGAAATAAAATAAGTTATTAAAATTTTATTTTAATAATTTTATTTTTATTTCAGTTAACATTTGTTCCAAGTAATGAATTCTGAATTTTCTTTATGGTTTTAGTTTTAGCTAATGATAATAAACATAAAGGGAACTGCAGTGATAGAACTAAATAGTGATAGAAATTCCAATGCTTAATTAATTGAAATAAACCATTTTCAATCAAAATATTTAGTTAAAAGGTTATGAAATACAAAGAATTAATAAGAAGTGAAACTGCTGTGGTAATTTTATATAGTGGTAAATTTGTCTATATCTACATTAGAGTCCCCATGAAGGCCTTTTGCCCCAGACTGAAGGACTTTTACTGCAAATGTGGGGTAAAATGACCCTCTATCAGTACTTTTTCAGCACCATTTCTTTACACAAATTTATGTTTCTCCATCTATATTTAATATCAGTTTGCGTGATATTTCATATCATTTATGTTCTTACCATGACAGTACAGGACCAAGACATCTGCAGCTTCTTGTGTTTGCTGCATTCTGAAAAAAACAAGCTAGTCAGCATTGCCAGTGTTTACATGCAGACTATCTTATGCTGCTTTATTACCATTATAAATGTGTTCATATTAGTGATTTGATTACCTCGGCTGGGAAACCGTTGAGTCTCTTGTACTTCCCCATTAGTCCGGTGTAGAGCACCCAAACATAGTGCAGCGTGTAGAAGAACGAGGCCATGTAAAGCATCTGTAGGATGTGAAAGTCAAATGGAGAAGTTAAAGAAGTTTAAGATATCTTAGTTATAGTTCACATCCACATTCTAACCATGCTGTCGCAATACTGTAAGCCACGACTTTCACATTACTGTTTGTTTGTGTGATTGCAGTGCTTTCCAACCCTGACCCTGATACCCTCAACACGGCATATTTTGGTCACACTTTATTTTAAGGTCCAATACTCACTATTAACAAATTATTCACTACAACTTTTGCCTCAATAAATTCCTAATTTGCTGCTTATTCATAGTTAGTAAGGTAGTTGTTAAGTTTATGCATTGGGTGGGATTAAAGATGTAGAATATGGTCATGCAGAATAAGTGCTTTCTAAGTGCTAATAAACAGCCAATATGTTAATAATAGGCATGCTAATAAACAACTAGTTAATAGTAAGAATTGGTCCCTATACTAAAGTGTTATATTTTATATCGCCCTTATCGAACACACCTGATTCAGGTTATCAGCTGGGTGTGTGAGATGAGAGAGACATGTAAATGTGTACAGTCAGGGCTTCCCCGTGTGAAAAAGAAGTACACTTCAGCATACTTTTCAGAATAAGAAGAGGACTTAATACAGAAGTAATGTACTTTAAAATAATATAGACTTAAGTATGAACTGAATGAAATGTTTTCAGAAACTTAATTGCATGTTAACTGCAATTAAATTCAAATGTATTACAATTGAAATTTATATTAATGCAATTAGCTAAACTACAGTGCTTTTTTGACCCAGTCAAGTACATCTTTTTATATAATTTTATAATTATTTCTGTTGTCTGTGAAATATGGTTAAAGTGTACTGCTGAATGTACTGATAAGCATTAATGGTGAACTAAAGTATATTTTCATATAATTTCTATTAGAACTTCTATGTCATGTATTTAAATATATTCGAAATTATAGCAATGAAGCTGCAATTTAGTACATTTAAAAATGAACTTTAAATGTAATAACACTAGTTAAAACTAAAGATTTGAAGTACACTACAAGTGCACATTCAGTACAATTAAGCACACTTCTTTCTCAATCCAGGACCAGGATTGGAAAACATTGTCTTATGGCACCTTTGTTGACATTCATGTCAAAGCAATGCAAAGGCACTGAATGACATTGCAGGTTTGAGAAACTTCTGTATGATAAGATAACTTATCTTTCTCATGCCAACATGGTTTTCCTTTCTGTTTTGTTTGAACTCAGCTGACTGCAAGAGTTGTTAGTTATATTTGATCAGGGTGTGTATTGCCTGATTTGAACAGTCACAGAAATGTACACAATTCGCACTATGTAAAAAATGCACAATGAAATACGTCAGTGGGCATATTCAGTGCAATATTGGATTAACAATGCGAGTGAAATACATAAAGCTCATGAAAAGGTGAATGGATGGAAACAGCACCATAACAATACTATAAAACTACTTCATACAACAGGCAGCAAAAGAGGTTTGCAGGATTGTCATTCATTTTTGGGAGAACTATGGCTTGCTCGTTTGTACTCTCTTTCGCTGAATTTACACTTCTGCTGTAACAATCTAGTTTTAAGTACAGTTCTGTTGTCCTATCAATACCAGAGAACTGTTATAATGCATGATTAAAATGACATTAAGATAATGTTAATAACGTTTTCCATATTTCACAATGCAGTGGCTCTCTATGACGAGACAAATGCTTGAGGAAGAGGAAAACCTAAACAGATAAAACCAGATCATTTTGATTAGCCATTTGACTGTTTTTGAGTTCTAAAAATATAAACGTTTGTAATAAACTCAGGTATGAGTCATCAGTGAGTGTGTCACATGAGCTCAGACAGGGTTTTCCAAACCTCAGGGCGTTTTCTCCTCGAACAGTTTCAAATGTTAAAAACTGGGCACTTTCCCACAGACAATAGGGGCTAAACCTATTATTTGTTTAATAAATGATTCTTACATTTACGTAAGTAACAGTGTTAAATAGCTGGGCTTGCAAATGGAGCCAACACTACAATATTTGCAAAAATTGAGAAAAAGGAATGATTATTTAAGGGGTCCAAATGATGTTACTTTGTGCCACACATTCATGCAATGTTACTTGTATCTAATGGGGAAAATACTGAAGTGGCTAAATGTTTCATTTTAGGTTATTAAAGTTAGTTAATAATTATTTTAAATGAAAGAGTATAACTACTTTTGCTGCAATAAATTGATTCAGTTTAACAGATTATATACAAAGTATGATATTAATTGTTGGATACAGACAAAGCAAAATCAGCACAGGCATTTGATGGCATTTTACATTTCAAATTAAGGTAGTTTTATGACAGCATATCTAATAATAAATCTAATAAAGAAGATTTTTGAGTGTAATGCCTTACAAGTCTTGAGAAACCAAACCAATTAAAAACTTTGGCTCTACACATTACTGAGCTGTGACGTTCACTCACACCCATGACGATCCACAGTTACATGTGCAGACTTTAAAAAGTGGGGCAGAACTAATTTTATCTGGGCAAAGAATATGAATCAAATTTGCTGCTTCACTTCCTTTTCAGACTCGTCCCAGTTCCATGTTTGTTCTGCGTTTTTGAACGAACTGGTTTTAGTGTCTGAGCTGAGAACTACTTGTTTTTGAAGTGAAACTGCCCAAGCACACATGATTTTATTCCCTGTGAATTTTTTTAGTTAAATGCCAAACAAGCAGACCTCAATAATGAGAGACACATGTTCAGGCCTGCAGCACATTGGCAGGATGCAGGGAGGAAGCACAGAGTTAGAAAGGTCCCTCCCTCATTTGTGTTTCTTTCTTTTTTAGCACATATTCTTTAAATGCCAATCAGGGAACAGTTTATGGGCTAAAGACTTTCCATTTTTATGCAATCCCAAATAGCAGTATCAAACTGAATAATTACAATATGTATATGTCATGGACGTCATATGGTACTCCAGGGTACTTCAAAAAATATCATGGTATGACCATGTCCCAAAAAATACACTATTACTTTTTGGTAACATGGTATGGTTTTTAATGGATATTAAAAATACCCTTTTGTTAAAAACATTTTCTTAACTAAAAGTGATGACAATGAATGACTTGTTAAACATCTGAAAAGAATGTTCATCTAAGTGTGTGATTATTCTTTTGATGGCATTTAAAATTTAATAAGGAACAGTCCCTCAGACTATCCATGATGTAGATGAGTTTGTTTCTTTATCATAACAGATTTAGATAAAAGTAGCATTAAATTACTTGCTCACTAGAGGATCCCCTGCAGTGAATGGGTGCCGTCAGAATGAGAGTCCAAACAGCTGATAAAAACATCACAACAATCCACAAGTAATCCACACCACTCCAGTTCATCAAGTAACATCGTGTGAAGTGAAAAGCTGTGTGTTTGTAAGAAACAAATCCAGCATTAAGACAGTTTAACTTTAAACTTTCACTTCTGGCCAAAATATTAGTACATAATCCATAATAATTCTTCCAAAAGTCCATCCCATGTTGTCCTCTAACATCAAACTCCATCTAAAATATTTGTTTAGAACTGTTTTGGCTTGTGAACTATGCTTGGTCTGTGCATATTTCTCTCCTGATTCAGACAAGACTACTTTTTTACTAGAGAAAGCAATATTATAGATGTCAGAAGCAACAGTTTTAACTTAAAAACATCTTAATGTTAGATTTGTTTCTTATAAAAAATGCAGCTTTTCACTTCTCAAGACATTAATTTATGGACTGGAGTGGTGTGGATTACTTGTGGATTATTGTGATGTTTTTATCAGCTATTTGGACTCTCATTCTGACGGCACCCATTCACTGCAGAGGATCCATCGGTGAGCAAGTGATGCAATGCTACATTTCTCCAAATCTGTTCCCATGAAGAAACAAATTTTTCCACATTTTGGACGGCCTGAGTGTGAGTACATTTTTATCACATTATCATGTTTGGGTGAACTATTCCTTTAAAAGTTGTGACCATGCACTAGTCAATCAAACATGACTGCTCCTGTGCACGTGGCTTTATTTGTGGAAGTGTGATGCAAAAACATGGCATGTACAGAAAGGTCCTCTTCTTCTGCCTGTGATAAGCATTATTTCTGCATGATATTGTGTTGGTTTTGTACCTGTTCCACTATGTGGAGGTTGTAGCAGGTGGCGTAAGATTTACAGGACTGGGTGAAGAGAAGACCTCCACACATCCAACTCAAAGCTAACAGCAGGTCTGTTACACTTAACAAGAATAACGGCAGCACCTGAAACAGAGGTTTGTTTTAGTGGTCAAAATGACATATTTGTTTGAACATATTATTAATAATTCACAGTGTATATATATATTAGATGGAGGCTTACCTCTGGTTTTCTTACTAGTCCTTTTAAACAGGCACATACGATTATGGAGCCAGCACCTAAAATGCTGGAAGGCAAATTATTAGTAAATATAAATACAAGACATAAACATTTATTAATACGTGTCTCTTTAATAAATGACTGCAAAACTAAAAATGAATAGATACCTTAGGACGGCCATTGTTATTTGTATCCATCGAACTATAGAGTATATCTAAGAAAAGAAAAGGAGAAGTTTATTTAATCTGCCTGTGTTTGTTTTAGGCATGTAGAACACAAAACGCAAGACAATAGCCTGTTTTTATGAGTTTATGATAATACATGACCCAGATATGAAGCGTCTGGGAATATCCTACTTTACAGAAGTCCGTGATTCATAACATGCTAAATAACAATCAGCGTGTTTGAATTTTATTATTATTTCTCAAATATTTTAAACAATTGTGATCATTTTGCAGTTTAAAACGATCATTTAAAGAAAATCTCCATGAGTCTCCATGTGTGCGTTTGCAGCATAACTATGATATATTCTCTAGTTTATGTAAAATGCTGTAAAACTACTTACAGATGTCCAGTTTTCAGTCGGAATGGTGGTGTTCATCTGTGACTTATTTTGGCCAAAAACGTCCATATTGTAAAATGTAACAATATATTGATCAAGTTAATATTAATATTCCTCTCGAAATCTGTCCTATGTAACAGCAGCAAATAACAGTTGTAACAAATTTCTAATTGCTACCAGAACATTCCAAAATAGTAATAATGACTTATTCAGGAGACACTGGAGTAACAAACTGCGCTTTCGAATTCCAGTACTGTAAATAATAAACTGCGCGCCCCGCCCACTTTATCCCAAAACGATTTCGATTGGCTACGTTCCTACTGCGTCACACTTTCGTCATGTTTTAATGTATGTTCGGCGCTCAAAGCGACCGCGCGCCTCACTAGGCATGACTAAATAGTGGCGCATTGTTTTGGCTCACGGAACCGTCTGTATTAGCAAGGACATCTTGTTTTGGACCGAAATATTTTACATTTTTTCAAATTATGCGTGAAACTATGCCAAACTATCCGTGACAACGTCGTTTAAACTGTCGGTGTGATGACAGTAAGCATGCATCAGGGTTTTTAGGCTGTGCTCGAACACATCAGGCAATATTTAGTCAGAACTGAAAGTCGCATTAACTATCGCGTTATTTTATAAGCTATAAATTAGTTTAACCTATTAGTTTACAGTGTCCTTTTTTAATTATATTTTGAGACATACTACTTACAGATGTCCAGTTTTCAGTCGGAATGGTGGTGTTCATCTGTGACTTATTTTGGCCAAAAACGTCCATATTGTAAAATGTAACAATATATTGATCAAGTTAATATTAATATTCCTCTCGAAATCTGTCCTATGTAACAGCAGCAAATAACAGTTGTAACAAATTTCTAATTGCTACCAGAACATTCCTAAATAGTAATAATGACTTATTCAGGAGACACTGGAGTAACAAACTGCGCTTTCGAATTCCAGTACTGTAAATAATAAACTGCGCGCCCCGCCCACTTTATCCCAAAACGATTTCGATTGGCTACGTTCCGACTGCGTCACACTTTCGTCATGTTTTAATGTAAACCTATTAGTTTACAGTGTCCTTTTTTAATTATATTTTGAGACATGCATAATCAATTATCATAAGCAATGTGATTGCCATGAATTAATAAAAGTAGTCCATTGTTTAGCAAGAGCAATCTATATAAAGTTGACATGGCGATACAGACTTTGAATTTGTGAAATATGTGAATACACGTTTTTTTTTTTAATCTGAATCCAGTTTCCATACATGTGCATGTTTCAATTCACTGCTCAGTATGTATCAAACTTCAATCATGGTCCCTTTCTGTCTTGTCTAGTTTGGTGGGAAGAGTTACAGTACATGCGTGACTGATGTTCAAAAATGTACATAACATTTCATTTTTATGTGTTCGTCTGTCAGTTCACATAGGCATCAGAGCACTGCATCATCAAACACTGTCCTGCTTCATTAATGGCAGTATGCCTGAGAACAATGAGCACAAGGATTTGCTATAAGAGCTGTCTAATACAGTTTACGTCATCGCTTCATATCAGCCATGAACTGTGAGGGAATAGTTCATTATTAATGTGCTGCTTCAGTGGAGATGAGGACCGAGTCCAGATTGTCATGACATTCCTCATTTCTCTCTCCGTCCACTGTCCTGTCCATTAAAACACATATAAAAAGCCCATAAATAAACCTGCTCATTTCATCTAAGCACATCTACAGTAGCTATGATCTTTCATGCAGTTGGAAAACAGAAGTATGGAAATATAAACTGTAAACAGAAAAAGAAACATTGTATGACAGACACAGAGGTGAACATGGTTCACTGCTCTAACACAATAGTCAGCTTTCAGTCTTTGATTTTTAATTTCACGTGCATACACTACTATTCACGGTTTTTTTTTTTTAAGACATTTATTCAATAAGGGTGCATTCAATTATGCATTTAAAAAGTGCCAGTAAAGACGTTTATAATGTTACAAAAGATTTCAACAAATGCTATCCTGGTGTCTTGGCTCTCCATGCCTTTTTGCACATGTGTTCAATACTTTTTCCCTGTGTCATTCCACTTTATTACACATAACTTAATTTCTGAACTTATTTGTTTTGTTTCATTTGTATGTATGATTACTTGGGTTGTTACCGACATCTGGTGAAAATTTCAAGTCAGCAGCACCTTTGGAAATATATTTACTGAGAAAAATGGTGATGCGTTCAATACTAATTTTACCCGCTGTGTGGAGCAGCACAACTGTTTTCAACATTGATAATAATTAGAAATGTTTCTTGAGCATGATTTCTGAAGGGTCATGTGACACTGAAGACTGGAGTAATGATGCTGAAAATTCAGCCTTGATCACAGGAATAATTACATTTCGCAATATATTAAAATAGAAAACGGTTATTTTAGATTGTAATGCTATTTCACAATATCACTGTTTTCACTGTATTTTTTGCTCAAATAAATGCAACCTTAATGAGTAGAAGAGACTGCTTTCAAAAACATTAAAAAATCTTACTGACCCCGAGCTATTGTACATGTGTATAGTCCCTTGCAAGTTCAGACTCCTCACTAACTCTTATGTTTGACTCAAACATATCAACCATATCAAGCACAAAAGAAGCCATTACTCAAACAGTTTGAGTAATGGCTTCTTTTGTGCTTGATATGGTTGACTGCTCTACATATTTTTTCCATTCTCAGTTCATGAACTTTAGTTTCTCTCACAAGTCTTCTTTTTTGCTTGAAGGAATAGTTCACCCAAAAATTTAAAACGGCTTAAAATTGACTCGCCGTCAGGCCATCCTAGATATAGATGAGTTTGTTTCTTCAGCAACAAGTTAATCATTAAGATAATATTAACTTCAAACCGTTGCTGCAGGCTAAAATACAAGTCCATACTCCATAATATTGCTTCCTCAAGTGTAAAAGTTGTTCTGTCTGAATCAGGAGTGAAACATGGAGAGATAATGCAAAGTTTACAAGCAAAAACAGTCCAAAACAGTTCTAAACAAATACGTGGCTGGATTTTCATGTGAGAGGACAATAGGCATGGACTTTTTCCCTGGAGGAAGCATAATTAAGGATTATGGACTCATATTCTATAGCTAAATGCAATGGCTTGAAGTCAAAAACATCTTGATGCATTTGTTCCTTACGAACATGCAGCTTTTGGCTTCACAAGATGTTCATTGATGGACTGGAGTCATGTGGATTACTTGGATTATTGTGATGTTTTTATCAGCTGTTTGGACTCTCATTCTGACGGCACCCATTCACTGCAGAGGATCCATTGCTGAGCAAGTAATGTAATGCTACATTTCTCTAAATCTCTTCCCATTAAACAAACAAACTCATCTATACTTTGGATGGTCTGAGAGAGTAAATTTTCAGGAAATTTTCATTTTGGGGTGCACTAATCCTATAACGGACACTTTAGCTAGTATCTGTGTGATCTGATGCATCATTCCTTCCAGATAACTGATCCAAAATGTACTCTGGGGATCAACCAGACCGCAGGGTTTATCCGGAAATCATGTGTTTGGAGGTAATGTGGAGATCTTTGTATTTCAGTTCTTTTTTTATTATTATTTATTTTATTGGAATTCAGTATATTTTCTTTCTACAATCAAAAATACAATATCATTTGCATATCTTACAATAAATAAATAATACTAAGGATAAAGATATTAAAGATGCTTTGGCCTCAAGCTGTGGGGCATTATCATGATGTTTCGAATCGAAAACAGATATGTTTGTATGAAATAGCAAAACAAATCCGTTTTCTCTCTTCCCTTTTTAGTCTCCACTGAAATAAGTGTGTCACGATACACAGCTTGACCTGGTGTTGCTTACAAGCGTAACTATAATATCTGGGAGTTGGAAGAAGCAGTACGAAAAATAAAATGAAATGTATTGGCCAGAATTATTGCTATCTTTACTATTTAAGGTAGATTTGCTATGAAACACAAACTGAATGCACAGGCCTCTTCTTTTGTGAGGTCAGTTGTACTTGAATGTAAAATTTGATAAGGAATATGGCATAATATATTATCTTCTAGCCAAGTTATATAACAGTTAGATAACTTTCACTAAATAACTTTCATTTGTGTGTTTATTTTATTTTTTTTACTATGTAGACTTGATATTCATAGAGTCAGGAACAAGGAAAACCCCTGACAGCCTCACGGGCAGGACTTTCTGATTTCCAGGATATGGAATATTTGAACAATGCCCAGAGCACGTGACCACATAAACTTAAAGGTGACATATTATGCCCCTTTTTACAATATGTAATATAAGTCTCTGGTGTCCCCAGAACGTGTCTGTGAAGTTTCAGATCAAAATACTCCACAGATCATTTATTATATAATTTTGAAAATGCCTATTTTGAGTGGAAGCAGAAACAAGCTGTTTTTCGGGCCTGTGTCTTTAAATGCAAATAAGCTGCTGCTCCCCGCCCCCTTTTCCAGATTAGAGCTGTGCCATTACAGCTGGTACCTGCTAAAAACATCTGTTTTGGTTCTGATTATCATGTTTATGCGCGGAAATCATGCGTTTTAAACCATACGAGTTTAAACTTCAGATAAAATGTTTTCTGAGCGCACACATCCAAAGCACACGGACAGAAAGCGGCTGTCACAGCATGTGAGTACTAAACTAAGTTCTCATTCACACACAAGTTTACGTTAAAAACACACGAGTTACAAAAACAGTTGGTTATGTCTGTGAAGGTAAACAGCTGGGAAATAAATCGCATGTTTATTTTAGATCTGTGTGGCAGCAGCAATATACAGTAAATAAATCAATAAATCCACTGCTCTCTTGTCTCTGAGGCTGGGACTCTAAAGTGTTCTGTGCTCGTCTGTGCAGCCAAAGACAGAACAGTTAGCATGTTTTGCTCAAACTTTCGCCATGGCATTAGAGCTGGTACACCGTTGTCGCTTTCTAAATCAAAATGACGGTGCCTTGAGTGGAAGTTTACAGATTAAGGGGCGGTGATATTATAATGAGATCCCTTTGCCACGTCACCAAGGGAGCGAAACCAGACGCCTCGTTTTCTCAGACACTTGCAGAAAAAGGCTTACCAAAACAAAGTGATTGGGTTAATCTTTTTCACGTTTCCTTGGTTGGTAGATGCACCGGAGACCTGATAATAACACTTAAAACCTGGAAAAGTCAGATTTTCATGATATGTCACCTTTAAAAAAATAAATAAAAACCTTAAACACGGAAACAATCTTCATGCCAGTAACACTATTGCCACACATCAAATATTCACATACAGGGTGTGTGAGTTTCCAACACGTGTCTCAGTAAAAATGCTGCTGGTAATACACACATTCCAAACACAAAAACATTCTAGATATATAATTTAATCAGATCATAAATGTTCTAATAAACATGTATTATACATCAACTTTTCTCCCATTTATGTAGATCTTCATTGCAAAGGACATGTAGTTATACTCACTAACTTCAAAACTTTCCGCATTCACTTCCCTTTGGGGAAAGTGTGTATTGTGATTATGATAAAAGCATGTACTGTAGCTGACTGCATAAGAGCATGAATCAGCATATTAGAATGATTTTTAAAAGATTGTGTGACACTGAAGACTGGAGTAATGGTGCTGAAAATTCAGCTTTACATCACAGGAATAAATTACATTTTTAAAGATATTTAAAATATTAAAAGCATGACTTTACCAATGTTTGATTTTCACCCAGAAATTGCTAGCAAGTTTCACAGTTAATTACAAAGAAACAGCAAGTAACACACTGAATTAAACATGACATTTTGAAATGGAAATACTGATTTTTCTTGTAAAACACTCTAATAATCTTTGTTGTATTTACAACTTATAATATATTTTACAGTGTATGGGATGTTGATTTAGGATGCACATGTTTTTCCCCAAACTGAATGTTCACTGACGCAGTGACGCACTTTCTTTTTTTTTCATTGGAGGTATTTGCCTTTCAGGACTTACAATAGAACTTTGTCGACAGATATTGTTGGTAATAAAAACATTCTTGTTTAAACCACAACAATCTTTGATAATACACTGGCCCAAAATGTATTGGAACACTTAAGCCAGACTAAAATATCTGAATGTCATTGTATTGGCCAACAAAAATATTGAACCAGATGGCATTAACAGATGCTAGAGCGTTCTCAGAACTAACCTCACTTTTTAAGCCATATTTGCATTGATTTTAATAATATGGTCCTAAGATGATATTTAGTGGCTGTATGAAGTCAGTTACATCACTTGCTCACCATTGGATGCTCTGCAGTGAATGGGTGCCATCAGAATGAGAGTCCAAAGAGCTGATAAAAACATCACAATAATCCACAAGTAATCCAAGACTGTCTCCAATCCATCAGGTACCGTCTTGTGAAGCCAAAGGCTTTGTGTTTGTAAGAAACGAATCTATCATTAAGAAGTTTTAACTTTAAACTGTTGCTTCTGGCCAAAATACGAGTCCATGATAACATTAAATGTGCCCTACTAGAAATCTTCTGCCATCTTGTGGCATTTTATTGCACATCATCAAAAGCTTTATTATTAAAAAAAACAATTTCAGCCAAAAATACAATACATAAATCCACTACAAAAATGTTCAAAATCATTCAAATATGAATGAAATGACAGGAAGCACAAAGATATCACGGTTGGTAACCCATTTCCTAAAGTGGAATCAAGCCTCTTGTTTCTCTCTCATACAGATCTGGAATGTGTCCGACAGGCGAGTTTATCATACTGACTGTATTTTTGCCATGTAATTTGAGCTCGTACTCGATCAGCTGCCTCCAGAAGCCGCTGTTGGGTCTCACTATGGGTCTGAGTGATTTGAGCAGCGCGTGCGCCTCCGCTAACGTCAGACAGCGGTGCTTCATCAGATACGCCAGACACAGCGTCGCCGAGCGACTGACGCCTGCGTTACAGTGAAGCAGCACGCGTCCGTCTTCATCACTGACATGCTGTATCTTATCAGCAACGGTATCAAAATAGTCACAGAGTCTGGATTCGGGATCATCAGAGACAGGCACGTGCATGTAATCCACAGTGGGAATGTTTGTGTTGCTTACGTCCTGAGTTGCGTTAATGACACATGTAATGTTGAGTGAACGAATGACCGAAGAGTCGCTTGCTGTTTTGCTGTTGCCGATGTACAAACAGTCCGTTATCTGAGCAAACCCACTGAGTCCACCTGCTCTTCCTGGCATGGTATATGAATACTGTGAAAATGCGCAAGTGTTAATATTGCAAACATCACAACTAAAAAGCATAATTTGACAAACGTTAATTTTGGCTTGCTTACATGATTAAAATACTTTAGGGCTTCAAAACGATTAATCGCGATTAATCGCATTCAAAATAATTGTTTATGTTTACATACTATATGTGTGTGTACTGTGTATATTTATTATGTATAAATACACACACATACATGTATATATGAAGGAAAAATAGGTTAGATTGATATATAATATAAATTATATACAAGTATGAATATACATACAAATATTTTTTTAAATATATACATATATGAGTGTGTATTTACAGTATATACATAATAAATATACACAGTACACACACATATAGTATGTAAACAAACTTTTATTTTGAATGCGATTAACCACGATTAATCGTTTTGCAGCCCTAAAATACTTTCAAAAGACTTTTGTTTGAAGGTACAGACCATAAAATCAGTGATATACACAGATTGAATGTTACTGAGTGGTTAGGCAATTGGCACTGAATTCTAGATTGTAGCTATGGTGTTGCTAAGGCGATCTGAGTGGTTGTTAGGCAGCTGCTAGGTAGTTCAAGGTGGTTGAGACTACAGACAAACAGACAACAACAACAACACATGACATATTGCACCGTGTCATTATTTATTTACCAAAAATTTAAAAGCCATGAGTGACAAAGTGAGGACACCCTTAATGTTAACATAGGAATTAAGAGGGTAACACATGACATATTGCACCGTGTCATTATTTATTTACCAAAAATGTAAAAGCCATGAGTGACAAAGTGAGGACACCCTTAATGTTAACATAGGAATTAAGAGGGTAAGCAGTCAAGACTTCAGGTGTGTGTTAACACAATGTAAAAGCCATGAGTGACAAAGTGAGGACACCCTTAATGTTAACATAGGAATTAAGAGGGTAAGCAGTCAGGCACTGCTAATCAAATACCTTTGATTAACTGATCATCAGCAAGTGTGAGCACCTCTATAAAAGCAGATGTTTTGGCAGTTTGCTGGTCTGGAGCCTTCAGGTGTGTGTTAACACAATGCCAAGGAGGTAAGACATCAGCAATGATCTTAGAGAAGCAATTGTTGCTGCCATCAATCTGGGAAGAGTATTACAGCCATTTGCAAACAAATTGAAATCCATTACTCCACAGTGAGGAAGATTATTCACGAGTGGAAGATATTCAAAACAGACCCCAATCCTCCCAGGAGTTGACATCCCAGCATAAACAAATACCCACAAACATCAATAAACTGGAGCAACGTTGTAAAGAAGAGTGGGCCAAAAATTCTCCAGAAACTGATAAAATCATACAGAAAATGATTAATTCAAGTTATTGCCATTAAAAGTGGATCTACAGGCAACTGAATCATAGGGTGTCCTAAGTTTGTCACACATTGCTTTTCCATCTTGGCTTTATTTTTGTTAAATAAATAAGGACATGGTGCAATATGTCATGTGATGTTGTTCATCTGAGGATTTATGTTCCACATTTTAAGACCTACCAAAGACCAGATGATTTTTTATTATGCCCTGCTAAAGAAAACCATGGAATTCAATAGGGTGTCGGTGTCCTAAACTTTTCACATGACTGTAGATTAGGACAGTGCTGAGTAGATTACTTGCAAATTATAATCCATTACTGATTCCAAATTGCATGACAAAATTAGTAATGCAATCCATTATATTACACACTTTTGGTAGTATAATTGGAATACGTTTTGATTACTTAAATTGTTTATCACATTGATAATCGTGCACCATATTGATTTAAAACTAAAAGGAGAAAGAAAATATTTTCACAACATTAAGTGCATTAAAAATTACTTTACGTCAAGGTTTCCCAAACTGGGGTTTGTGAAGAAACTGCAGAGTTTAATGACAAACTAATAATTGATTAAATCATATTTAAAATGAAAATAAATTATTTTAGTAGAACAACAATTAAAATAAAAAACGTACTAAAAAATATGTGACTATTAACCAGAGTTAGAGAAATTTGCAAATGGGTTACTTAATTATTAACCTATTACCTTGAAATCTCAGGTGTACTTCAAGTAAATAAGCCTATTTTAGGTGAAAGAGGTTCAGCTGACAAAAAAGGTTTGGGAATCCCTGCATTATATGTAAATAAGAAATAACATGAATTTGTGCATTTTAATGTTTTGGAAAAATTAATACAAAGACATAGTAATAATAATTCAAATAAAAATTAATGTGTTCATTAAAAGCTTTCTTAAAATTGAAATGATTTTTGTAAATCCAGTGGTCAAATGCTGTGTGGCCTCTCAGTTTTCTGTGTAATTATAGCCACCTGACTAGTGAATGGTCTTTGTGTGAATGTCAGCAAAACTGGAAGATTTTCTGAATGTTGCAGAAGGCTAATTTAGAAAGGTACATTTAAAAGATGAAATAGAATAATTATGGAGAATAAATACATTGTGAACAATGTATTGCTATTGTGTGAATAATATGTAATCAATAAAAAAGTAAGTGTAGTCTGAGTAAGTGTAGGAGTATTTTAAAATCTAATATAATCTAATTACATTAATTTATGGAATCTGATTACTAAATCAAAATGACATATAATCAGTTACTACGCAGCACTGGGTCCTGATAAATTCCCGGAGAGACAGACAGACTGTCCAGATTTTGGTGTATTTACCTTGCAACCTTGGGTTGGGATTTTTTTAAAAGAACGTTTGTACACTTATGCCAACATAATAAAGCTGTCTATAGAGCACACTGACTGTAAAATATACTTTATACTAGATTCCCCGCTCTTTCTCAGTGCATTGATACATGATAAACATTTTACAACTGTGTATCATCTTAAAAACTGCGACAGAAGTCAGTGTATTTATCAGTAGTTTACGCTGCATTATAAAGATATATCTTAGATTGCCTGAAAAGTTTTATTAGTAGGCTATAACTGCAAAAAGTGCAGTTTTATCCATAATAATAATAATTACCTACCTGTGCGCGGCTGTCAGCTGATGAAGTCTTCTTCTACTCGATGCGGCTTGGAAACTGTAGGCGCACATCGCCACCTAGCGTTGATACTGATAGCTATAAACATTTACATTACATTACATTTAGATATTTAGCAGACGCTTTTATCCAAAGCGACTTACAAATGAGGACAATGGAAGCAAAACGCCAAAAACGGAACTGCCAAATATATTGAGTGTTATCTATCTATCTATCTATCTATCTATCTATCTATCTATCTATCTATCAGGTTAGCATTTGCTTTCAGACCATTGGATGATTGGATCATAGATTATTTTTGTCGCTTTCTTTGAAGAAGTCTACTTTTTTTATCCTGCATAGACTGCAGAAAACTGACACTAGTTAGAGGCCATGAGATAAAAACTCAAATGATCCATGCTTATCCTCTAAGAAAGAACTATGTTGGTGCATACTTTTGTCATTGAATTTTGTTTATCTGTATACATGCAAGAGTACCCTTTAAAAAAATTAAATAAAGAAAAAAGATGCGTTCGTATTGCATTGAATGTGCACTTGTAGTGAAATTTCAAAAGTATCTTTTTAAAACACTGTACTTGCAGATATTATAATATCAACTAATGGCATATAAGGCCACTTAAGTGTACTGAGACACTTTCAAACTTTTAAAAAGTGCACTTTGTAATGATGTCAAATTAATAATTTTACTTTGAAGTATACTAAATCACTATGTTTTAACAATCTTTTGTTGTGCTTTAAAGAAGTACACTTATTTTGATGTGTTGACTGTCACGAATCCTGTCCATGGACTTCTGTCGATTGCCACCAGAGGTCACCCTTCCGTTACATGGACTCTCACACTACACAAACTGTTGCATGTCATCCCGGACTACATTTCCCATCATCCATTGCACTGATTGCACACAGCTGTAACCAATCACACACACACTATATTACACCCACTCAGATCCTTCTCAAACTGTCCAGTATTGTTTAGCGCTTATCGCTCACCTAGTGATAGCTACTCTACGGAGCCAGTTCCCTGTCAAAGTTCTAGTTCTAGTTTCCATAGTCTAGTCATTGTCTTGCCTGTTTTCTCCTGTTCTGATTCTTGCCTGTGTTTCTCGGATTACCCTCTCATCTCGCCCTGTTTGGATACTGTTTACCCCTAGCCTGGACCATCGCCTGTGTTTCAGATTAACCCTTTGGATTACCCTGTTTGGACATTGTTCGCTGGAGATCGACCACGCCCGTTCACCGGACTACTCTTGTGTCTTGCCCACAATATACCTGTTTGCCATTGTTTGACCCATGCCTGTTATGACCACGCCTTTTAAATAAAGCCTTGCATATGGATCCGCAAGTCTCGTTCGCCCCGTTATATTGACTAACATACTAAAGCACATGTAAAGTATTTGATTATAATTTTAACTGTACACTCTAAACAACCCAACTGCTGGGTCAAAACAACCCAATAGCTGGGTTTGTCCCTTTTTAACCCAGCGCTGGGTTATATTTAACCCAGCATTTTTTAGAGTGTAGTGTGATTTTAAAGTCTTTGTGTTTTTAAAGTTTTTAAAATATTTTAAATTGACTAAATTGCAACTTCATCAATACAAATGTGTAATTACAAATTTATTTAAACACATGACACAATTTTCAATAGAAATGACATTAAAGTGTTTTAGTTCAATAAAAAATGCAATAGAAGTTTTTAAGTTTTTAAGTTTTTAAATTACATATAAAGAGTTCTTAAATAAACTGCATTTAATGAAAAATTAACTAATACATTTTCACTTAATTGAAATTAGCATAAAATTATGTGTGAAAACATTCAATTTAAAGTACAGTGTTTCCATAAGAAGCACTCTTTTTAAAAGTATGCTGAAGTGTATTTCTTTTTCACAAGGGCATACATTCAGTCCTACAAATACTGAATAAACTGATCACCTCAATTTTCCAGTTAAATTGTTAGTTTCAGACTGAGTGCATATTCATCAAGTGTTTCTGATTTTGTTTTTCAAAGTTATAATTATGCATAACCAGTCCAAATATCCTCTAAGGTCAGGATGAAAGAAAGTTCATCTCTCTGTTATAGGTGGGGAGAGGCTTGGTTGTTCTTGCGTTCCTTTTGAAGATCAAAGGGAACACACTTCTGAAGGTCTTTCTGAAGTTGGCACCCATGAAGGCGTGGATAACGGGGTTTATGGAGGAATTGGAATAGGACATGCAGTGAGCCCAGATTTTTAGTTTGTAGAGTGTATAACTGTGACTCACATCTTCAGAACAGAATGCTTGTAAGAGAATCAGTATCTGGATTGGACCCCAGCAGACCAGAAACAGCAGCACCATCACAACCACCATTCTGGATACTCTGGTCCGCACTGCTTCAACCCGTTCTGCTGACGTCTGCAGCTACAAAACCAAGAGCACTCTTAGACAAATTATGCTCATTATGGTTTTATATATAACATATTTTTCCAAGAGAAAGGGTTGAGTGCAGTGATTCTAAATTACTGCTGTAAAAGAAAACTGATCATTTTGGAAAAGCATTAACAACAGTGTGATCTGTTCACACCAATAACCACGGAACAATAACCACAAAGATAACTCTAATGATTAATATCCACACCAAGGCACAATAATATTATGTTTATTATAAGTGCACTGCAGTTGTGTCATTTATTGCATTAAATGCTCAAACTCTTTAAAGTCGAATGGATTCTGATTGGCTGTCAATATTTTTATTGTTTATCAGCTGGAAGAAATTGTTCTGAAATGCCAACAATAAAAATTTTTCTGTGTCATTATTATTGTAGCTGTGATGTTGACCTATTTTCATAGAATTATAATGATTATTAAAACTTTACGGTTATCTATATTGTCTTAAGGCACATAAATTAGCACCAAAATACCATAACGTTTGACTGGACACAACCTTTGATGTCAAAAAGTCTATTGTTTTTGCTATCCCAACTACATGCATTCGGTTTTTTTTAAACACACATTAATTTTGTTATTTGCATTCTGCATTTTTCCCACCTGCACATCACTACCAGAGCTGAAGCCAGGAGTAACCCCTTCTTTGGTCACAAACCACCAGTTTAAAACAAAGACTATAGAATAAAGGGACTTTGCTTAAAATCACTAGTTTTGTGTATTTTATGAATAGTTTGATATAACTTATGTAATCATTTAGCTAATTCTTATTACTTATGAAAATATTTAGTATCTCCACAAACCATTGGATATATAGGGTATAATGTAGACTAGTTAGGATTTAGGATAAACTTATTTAGGATCTATCAGAAAAGGTGGTCAGTGATGTGATGCATCTCATTCTACAATTCTTTTTGTGGAGGTGTTTCATTCAAGTTCATTTATGCTGTTGGGTGGCACCTGTGCTCCCGGAGTGTGTGTGTGTGTTTGTGTGTGTGTTTGTTCACTACTCACTGCTGTGTGTGTGTGTGCACTTTGATTGGAGAAATGCAGAGCACAAATTCTGAATATGGGACACCACATACTTGGCCACACGTCACGTCCTTTCCTTTTTCCTTTCCTTTCCTTAAATACCCTTCTGAAAGTTCACAACATTAAGAACGGCTGACGTTTATTTTTACCGCACTGATTCAGAAAGTTACCACAATTTGATCAGCACTTACACAAAGTTTAATTCTGAGTATAGCCTAATTTGGGACGATATCGTAAAATTCTATGCATGTTTAATTGATAAAGTATTTACATTGAAAAGTTTACCTCCATAATGCAACCATGCTATCACATCTGTACCTGGTTACAGCCATGAACAGGTTCCACCGTGGCTTGACCCATGCATTTCAACATGAAAGTGTAACACATGCAGATGGTGATCAGAGGCAGCAGGTAAACAGCCAAGAAGGAGTAAAGAATGTAAGCCCTCTTATGAATGAGAGAGGGAAATGCCTCAGTGCAGTATGTCTGTGGACCGAACCAGAACGAAGACTCTGTGTGCTGATACAAAGCTATCGGCACTGAAAGAAGCAATGAACCTGTGTTAAAAAAGATAATAAAAAATGTTATTTTACCACTATTTGAACCTTTATTTTCAAGTGTATAACTATGAAAATATGAAAGCTGTCAAAAGAAATATCACAAGCGATGAAATTGAGATTCTACTTAAACTGATTGGAATGATTTTCATACATATCCAAATAGTGGTGCATACAGACAGAGCCATCTGTGGTGTTCGATGACGGAGGGACTGTAGTGGATAGACGGTCACGTAAAAACTATCCACACTCATTGCAGACAAAGTGATGCAGGTTGCCTGTGCAGTTACCTGTGAATTCATTCAAAGACACTGCTTAAAATACTAAACTACATAACCATATTCCACATCCTGTATAGTATAGGTAGCCTATGATATAGCAGTTTAGACACTTTTGTAGCCATTCATTCCATTTAACTATTTCAATCATGACAACTCTCTGAAGATTTTAGCATGGTGATGGATATGACAATGTTAATGTATTTGGTCTTGGCTGAATCGATCTGCTACACTGCTGCTGAATTGCTGCTGCTGTTGGTTATTGCTATAGATTATTGCTGCTGCTGCAAGCAAGTACAGGAACTTGCTACTGCCAATGCATATGGCGATACGGTGCCGTGAGTATTTAAGACATACTGCTGCTGCACAAATTGCATATAAAATAACCCGTAGCAGATCTATACAGGTGGAGCTGGGGAAGGTGGAGGGTTTCAGAGAAACTCTGAAAGCACGCTGCAAGAATCAGATGCAGCATGAACCAATCAGCTTCTGCCAAGTCGTTTAACTCTCTGAATATCATCAGTTACGTTAACAACCCGTCAGCCTGTGCCATCTAGAGTTTCATGAAAGAACCATATACAAGTACTTTTTCAGAGATAAACTATATGGACAAAAATATTGGGCCACCTGAGCATTACACCAACATGACATTCCATTGTAAATACATAGGCATTAATAATTATGGAGTTGGTCCCCCTTTGGAGCTTTAACAGCTTCTACACATCTGGGATGTTTTTCTACATGATTTTGTGGGAATTTTTGAAAATTTTATCCAGCAGAGCATTTGTTTGGTCAGACAACTGATGTTAGACAAGAAGTCCTGGCTCACAATCTCTCAAAGGTGTTCAATGGGGTTGAGAGGGTGTCACACCAAACTCATCCAACCACGTCTTTATGGACCTTGCTTTGTGCACTGGGGCACATGCTGGAACAAAAAAGGGCCTTCCCCAGACTGTTCCCACAAAGTTTGAAGCATACTATTGTCCAAAATGTCTTGGTATGCTGAAGCATTAAGATTTCACCTCATTGGAAGTAAGAGGCCTAGCCTAACCCTGAAAAACATCCCTATACCATTATCCCTTCTCCATCAAACTTTACAGCTGGCACAATGCAGTCAGGCAGGTAACGTTGTTCTGGCATCCACCAAACCCAGACTTGCCCATCTGTCTGCCAAACAGAGAAGCTTGATTCATCACTTCACAGAACAGGTTTCCACTGCTCCAGAGTCCAGTATCCATGTGCTTTAATCCACTCTATCCTGGAATGCTTAACTTTTGCCCAGATTTTTGCCTTGACTTGAAGTCCGTATGCTTTGACGCTAATTGCGTCAGAGTCAGAGAAAGTTAGAACCAGTTTGCAGATTTTGAGCTGCTGGTTGACAGCTTTTTCAGAAAATCGCATAGTGCATAATGCATGCAGACTTAACTTCAGTTCAGACATCGATTTCTTTGTCAGAGGAAATAAAACATGTTTGAGCCAGTTTTAGAATGCCTATTATATGGTCTCCTAGCAACAAGGCACATGTTTCTGAGTGATTGTTGGGTTTGGAACATTTTGAAAATCTGCTAGCATAATTTATTTTGAAAATTAGTTAGGGTGCATCTCAATCAGCTCCCTAGTTTAGTAGAATGTTGTCCGTTGATGATATATGTAGTTATGTGTTTGGTGTCCAGGAGGAGCTCATGAGGGTCCTGTCGAAGGCTGTCCAGGAGTTGGAGCTTACCTGGAGTCCTCCAGAGGAGCCTGCGAGGAGTAAGCTCAACTCTTGGTATTTCAGGTCCACCCAGAAAGCTGACTCGAGGGCGTCGGTCCCCTTCTTCCCTGACGTACATGAGCAGCTGGTGAAAACATGGTCTGCGCCCCAATCAGCGCGTCCACTCTGCCACACAGGCCATTTTTTCCCACGTGGATGGGGCGGAGGCCCACGGGTATGTGCGCTCTCCCCCTGTCGAGGAGACCGTCACTGCGCACCTGTGTCCTGCAGCAGCCAAGACCCTAGGCTCGGACATCAGCCTCCCCTCGAAGCCGTGCAGGACCACCGCCCACCTCGCCAATAAAGCATATGCGTCATAGGCGGCTTCCGCGGTGCACACCATGGCGGTGCTGCAGGTTTTTCAGGCGAAGCTCCTGCAGGCGGCGGAGGGCAGAGCCCTCACAGTGGAGGCCGTTAAGGATCTGCGCGCGGCAACGGACTTCGTGCTGATGGCGACGAAGCGAGCGGCCCAGGCCGTGGGTAAGGCCATGGGTTTTATGGTCGTCCTTCAGAGGCACCTATGGTTAAACCTGGCTGACCTCAAGGATGCTGACCGTAAAGTGCTGCTGAATGCTCCTGTGACCCCGGCCTCTTCGGTGATGCCATGGAGTCCATTATTGAGCGCTTCGCGGAGGCTCAAAAGCGCGCCAAAGTCATGAGTCACGTGATGCCGAGGCACGCTTTCCAGCAGCAGACGGCGAGATTCAGATCCTCGTCGGCACCTGGCTCTTCCCAACGGAGGGTTAACCCCAGGCCAGCGACCGCAGCGGTGTCTGCTACCGCTCATCGCCAGGAGCCGGATGTCCGGAGGAAGGCGTGGGGTCCCGGGAGGAAACGCCACGGCCAGCGAAGGAGCCCGCGACGTGACTCTTGCCCGCCGCCGGCTGCTAAGCCGTCATCCTGACGGTCTGAAGAGAGGAGGGGAGTGCGCGAGCAGTCCGGCTCCCAAGCGCCACAAGTTCATGTGTTGGAATGTTTGTGTGTTGGATGTTCATTCAATAAAAATGCATACATTCTCACAAAAAGAGCTCTTTCCTCCTCATTCAGTCAATGCGGTGCTGCTCGCCCCGCCTCAAAGCAGTGCAGAGCCGCCGCCCACACAGGTTATAGTCACGCAGCACTCGCTGGCGCTTCCAACGACTAAGCCGCTAAAGCCGCTATGTCAGTTCCTGAGCGCGTGGGAAGTTATTCCGGGAATCTCGCGCTGGCTACTCGGTGTGATAGAGCGTGGGTATACCCTTCAATTCAGACGCAGACCACCCCGTTTCAATGGCGTGGTGCAGTCTCTAACATTGCCTCGAAATGCCCTGGTTCTGAGACAAGAGTTATGTAGTCTCAGATCCTGGCGCAAATTCGTCCCGGAACTGGTTTGTGTCTATAGTGGATCTCTACCATCAACACTGAAAGTCTATGTGGCCGCTATTGCCTCGTTTCATTCCCCGCTGTAGGCACACGCTGGTGGTGAGTTTTCTTAAGGAAGCGAGGAGATTGCATCCCCGGCGTCCGCCTTCAGTCCAGCCCTAGGACCTAGAGGTGGTGTTAAGAGCTCTTTCACAGCCACCATTCAAGCCTTTAGCATCCATTGATATGAAGGAGCTATCTCTCAAAAGTGCACTTCTTCTTGCCCTCGCTTCGGCTAAGCGCATAGAGGATTTACACGCGTTTTCTGTGGACAGCGACTGTATTCGCTTCGGACCCGGTGACTGCAGCGTCACTCTCCGGCCGAGACCGGGCAACGTGCCTAAATCACTATCTACCCCCTTCAGAGCGCAGACTGTTTCGCTGACCGCCCTGTCTTGTGAGTCATCGACCTCGCGTGATGCGGACACTCAGACTTCGGTGTTCCCCGTCAGGGCTTTGCGGATTTACATTGACCGTTTGGCCAGCTTTCGGCAATCTGACCAGCTTTTCGTGTGCTACGGTGGTTGTGCGAAGGGCCGGGCCGTGTCAAAACAGAGACTTTCCACTTGGAGTCCCTAGGGCTATGTGTCAACATGCAGAAGAGCATTCTCGCCCCGAGTCAGTCTATAACGTATCTGGGAGTGTGCTTCGACTCAGTGGAGATGCGAGCCCGCCTGTCTCGGGAGCACTCGGCGGCCATTTTGTCTTCCCTGCGCCATTTCAGACTGGACAGCTCTGTTCACTTGAAGGAATTTCAGAGGCTGCTGGAACTCATGGTGTCTACTTCAGCGGTATGTCATCTGGGCTTACTACACATGCGCCCGCTGCAATTATGGCTGAAATCTCGAGTCCCTTGGACGGCGTGGGCTTCTGGCCGTTTGCGCATCATGGTCTCCCACGGCTGCATCAAAGCGCTGAAGCCATGGTGCAACCCAGATCTCTTCAGCCTGGGGGTTCCCCTGGGCTTGGTGACGTCGCACGTTGTGGTCACGACGGACGCATCGACTCGCGCCTGGGCGTGGTCGAGAGGTATGTCTATTCAAGATATATGCTTTGCAGCCGGCTGGTCTTCTCAGAATACCTTCGCCAGGTTTTACAAGCTGGACGTTCAGTCCTTAACCTCCCGAGTGCTGTCGGTGAGTGACTGATTCACACTTATGCTACCTCTATTCGTGTATTGCTGCCTTGAGTATCATGTTATACTGTATGTTATGCTGCTTAACACCGTTATCTCTGTGCAGCCCCTTTTGCCCTGTTCTCAGCGCAGCCAACATTATTAATGACCAGATATGCAAATTTCGTATGCCTGGGCTTTAGACGCTCATTGGCTTATCTCCACCTATCAGCTGTGAGCCCGCCTAACAAGCGTCGCTATTGGTTGTGGGAATTGTGTGTTCTATCTTCACTGAGTATGTGACTGGCTCAGGCTGCTCGTAGCCTCTCTCACGGCGGGATTGAATATTGTTCCCATAATGGAGAAATGTCTCCGTGAAAGCTCGAGAGGGAACGTCTCCGGTTACTATCGTAACCTCGGTTCCCTGAGAGCAGGAACGAGACATCACAGAGGTCGACGTGTTCACTGCTTGACCAGTTAAGCGGCGTTCAGTATCAGATTCTGACGTAATTACGGCGTGGACTTTGGGCCGTTTGCGCATCGCGGTCTCCCGCGGCTGCATCGAAGCTCTGAGGCCGTGGCGCAACCCAGATCTCTTCAGCCGGGGGGTTCCCCTGGGCTTGGTGACGTCGCGCGTTGTGGTCACGACGGACGCATCGACTCGCGGCTGGGGAGCAGTGTGCGAGGGCATGCCAGCTTCGGGGCTGTGGTCAGAACCCCAGAGCCGGTGGCACATAAACC